TGCTCCAGGCTAAAATAAAACCTAGTAGTTTTCACACACACAATTCCTCAAAAATTTCTGGCATCACGATCACAGAGTGTCCGGAACGAAAGGTTTCCATTTTTTCATACAGATACTCATGCTGATTCATGTAGACATAGGATCCAAGCATCTCAAAGTGATCTCTGTGTTTAATCCTCAGAGTACACCTGAAAAACAGGGTCCTTGCAGTCCTTGTTTTTGAGATGGAGAACTGAAGCTAAGGGTAAATTAACCAACTGGATGATATCCCATGGAAGGATTAAGCTTGGAGTTGAACTGCAAAATCTCTTGAAGTCTCTTTGAGTGCCTTACTCAGCTGAACACCTTTGGGATAAACGGAAGCAAGTCCCAGGCCTGCATTTCCTCCCTTCTCTCTATTTTGTGGTTCATTCTGCTTCTTTGCTCCCTTCCACACTGAAGACAGACAAGGTCTGCAGAGTGGTCCTTCTGCAGAGTTGCCACTGATATTTATTAACATAAATCACAGCAAGTATTATTCACGCGTATAATTACACAGTTTCTGAGTTACACAGTTATCTGAGCTTATGGCTGTAGAACGCTATTTTCCCCATCATAATTAAGCAGTCAGCATTTCAGAAAGTGAAGCAATTTGCAAGTTCAATTACAGTCGATATTGTACCAGTAAGAGTTTGACTGTGGAACAGAGATGGCAGATGTCAAAGGGACTTTGTATCCTAGATATTGAAGAGTAGATTGTGACCAATGTCAATGATACATTCTGAGGCCAACTGCAGTGAGGGTGATTCTCAGTGGACAGTCACCCAAAATGAAATGGCCTCAATTTATTGGTAAGATTTGTTCTGTGTTTTCTTAAACATACTACAAATTTACCGCAGACATTGCCAAGAAAAAATAATTTGTGATCAGTTCTTTCCATTACAGCTGTCACCTTTTATCTCCAGATGTATATTAGGAAGATTTAATAATATGATTAGACATAAAAAGTTAGAGGGAAAAGAAACACACCAGGCAAAGACACTGGGACAAGACATTCACTCTTTTTTTTCTTTTTTTTTTTTTTTTTTTTTTTTGCTTGGTAATTGCCTTAAAATCATCTCAACTCTAGGTCTTTGATGAAACTTTCAAAATAACTGGTATGTTTCAGATACTCAAAATTGTGGAGTTAACTGGCTTGTCTTTTTCACTCACCATTGCCGTGTTAAATTTGATCTGACGTCACTTATTAGGACAGAGGCAGATCCAAAGCTTGCTGGTGTTTGTTGAAATGCCACCATCCACTTCCATGACATTTGGTTCAAGACCTCACTAAACAACCCTAAGTGCAACGCAAAGAAAGACCAGACTCCTGACGACTCTCTCTCAGCTATGTTGGCAAAGCCACATCGAGAAGAACAAACACAGACGTAACCATAACAGAAGCTGCATCGACAGCCAGAGCACTCAGTGAAGATGCCTTCTTCTGTGGCGTTTGGAGTTTACCAGCACGAGAAATTTACTTTTTTCCTCCTCCTCAAATATTTCGAATTTACCTGATTAACTATAATAACCATATAGGGTCACTCAGTAGTGTTTTATATTAACATACTAAAAGTTTTTTGGGAGCCAAATAAGTATCAGGTCAATTTTAATGCTTTTATTGTGCAATGGAACAGGTCTGTAAATAAAAGAGCAAGTCCTGAGGAGAAATATGAAAGTATTTAATGTATTCTTAATCACAGACATTCCCAACACCTCAAAATCATAAATCTGTAGCTGAATACTTGTCTGTAAATTATAAATTATATATCATACATAACATTAATGCAATTCTAAAAACCTATCTGAACTGAAAACTTACAAGAGCTAGAGGGACTGGAAAGTCTGGAAATGCACTTACATGCCTCTCCATACTTATATATCTGCATACCTTCCAAAATCCATTCTCCAAATGGATGGAAGGTTCTAAAAGAAAGGGACCTTGACTCCTCCACATCTTTTGGACACTGTATCCATAACCTTCTACGAAACACAAGGCAAAGTACCCTCGCAGTCAGGACTGCCCGCTTACCCACGCAAACTGTTATCCACACTATGAAGTTCCCATGCCATCGTTTCACAAGACAAATCTAATCCAAACTCAGATAGACCTATTCGAATCAGCTTCTGGCTTTATCCCTGTGCTGCTTTTCTACACTGCAAAATTAAGCTCTGCTTGCACTTTAGGTGCACATGCCAACAGTCCTTTTGTGGCGTGCCCGCAATCTCCTCCTGCCCTTCACTTTTAATTTGGAAGCTCAATTTCATCTGCCAGTTGCTTGGCAGGGAGTTTGTCAGTGATTGTCCCACCTGCTGCCTCCAAACCTCATCCTTTTTGCAGAAAAGAAGAGGAAGTCCATGCAGGGGAGTCCAAGAATGTCCCCAGCATTCAGCGTTTTACTTGCAGCAAAGCATGAAGCATAAGCAAGAGGTTCCACAGGACACGGTGGAACGGTTGCTCCATACGACCTGCTCGGTGGTGAAATTCACGCAGAGATCAAAGAACCACCACCAGATGACAATCAAGTGAAGTCAACCAAATCCGGTATTTTTTTCACTAAAATTTGGTAGGAAGGAGAAATAATTTCCTACTAGAAGAGCAGTATATTTAATAGGGATGCTGAGAGATGCTGTTGAATTTCCCAGGCTGTGATAAGCTTCATTATGTGAAACACGTAAAGTGTTTGTGCAGCAGCTTGATCTTTTTCTGCATCCCTGGCTCCACCTGATTGCTCCAAAATAGTTACAAGGGAGAAATAAATAAACAAATAAATGAAGTGGCAAGCCCTGAGTATTTCACAATATTTCATTATTAGCTGCAGCTACATGATCTCATACCTCTCAAGATCTATTACACCGGATCAAAGATGCAAATGTTCCTGGACGTCAGTTTAAAGAAAAGCACATAAAATTGTAACTGTTACTTTGCTT